ACTCAGTACTGCAGTGAACACAGTTGCACAAATCTCTATATTTTTCTTTGTGACATTTATATTATAGTATACAAAATGTGTTAATTTGCAGTTTATACTATCAATAGGATAATAGTCAGTTGCTAAAAATTAAATTTTAAGTTGTATAAAATTACATATTAATTTTGAACTGCGCCGAACATTGCCATCATTATTCTTACATGATTTAAAGGCCAACTGTATTTACAGTGCTCTGGAAATTTGACTATTATAGTTTTCAGAAACAAACTATTTATATTTATCGTTCTGCTTGTCAATTTTTTAAGTCATAATTCTTGATAAAATTATGACTTAAAAATATTTATAGTAACTTTCTTTTCAGTGTAGAAGAACACTCTATGTAAACATGATTTAATGTATTCATTTTTACATTTTTTATAAATGAATTATCAGATCAAGGAAAGAATTCATAAATAAATATTAACAATCAAAACATGGTAAAGCAGCAAGCAAAGGAGTATCATGAAGATAACAATAACATATGAGTTACCAAAATTATACTAACCAAATGAACGAACAGTTAATTAATGGATGAAATAATAATTAAAGATGAAATGCAAATTTCATAACTAAATATAAACAATTAGCAGTTCTTACATCACGTGACCTCTGACGTCACCGGAATGTATCTCATTTCAGATTTTGTAACACTTCCATGAATTTTTGATTAAAAACTCAATGATTTCAAAACGAGCAATGGCAACACTGTATGAAAAAACATTTTTATCTCCAGCGTGCAAGACTCTGTATCAGAAATTCTAAAGATATGCTTATTTTGAAATTAATTTGCGATATTGCTGTTGAACTGACTTTCACAGTTAAAGTAGTAAAGATTATGTAGAATATGATAATTAATAAATAAAGGTAACACACGAAACGTTAAAAAAAAAATGCTCCTTTGGACCTAGCCTTTACCTTTCAGATTTTTTTCTTTTTTAATTTTTATGGTACTTACGTATTATCGCAACCAGGTTGGCGCGATTTGTAAGTTTGAGTAAAAAAGTATGAATAGAAAGAAAATGTACATTTATTAATTACAGATAATTTTTAATAGAGTTTTTTTATATTATTTTGTTTTAAAATATAAATAGCAATTAAACCCTTCCGGTTTCGAATTTGAATAAGTTGCAGAATTTATTTTTTTGCCAGAAATCTTTTGGCTATTGCTTTTAGCACTGATAGAAAACCGTCTTCGCCATTAACAGCTTGAGCTTGGCGCCATATAAATTCGATAAGGTATGATCAAGATGATGACGGGCTGTTCCTCTCGTTTTTTGTTGCGCCATTTGGCTGAGCCCCACATGCGCTCTACATGTTGTGTGTGAACGCCCATGTTGGGATCCAAAAAGTTATATTTGTGATTAACAGTTCCATGCAGAAATCCAGCATTTTCAAACTCACTTGTATTGTATCCTTTCCAGCAATCCGAATAAATAATGCTTCCTTCCTTGATATTTTCGCAAATTTTTTCCATGAGGGTAATGGCACTTCTGTTAGGTACAGCAACCAAAAAAGTCTCTTTCTTTTCTCAGCAAATTCCGCTGAAAACCCATTGCTGTGGTAGTACACGCCCAGTGTTATTTTTTCTTTTTACAAATAAACTTTGGTCTATTTTCACACACGTAGGGTTGCCATAAGTAGGGTCGCCAAATTTGGCGATTTATGCGAATTTTGGCCTGGTTGCGTTAATACGTAAGTACAATTTTTATTTTATTAGAATTGAACTCTTCTGTTCTGTTCTTATAACTGCAAATGAAATGTGCCTCTTAAAGTTAATGATATTCTTAAAACCGACTGACCAACCACGAATGAACACACATACACACACTAAACCATAAATACTACCCAAACTTAAATCATAAATTTCTTTTTAAAATAAAAAATATATTTTGACAGTACTTGCCAGACATGAGTCCTTACATTTTAAGAGTAATATAAAGAACAAAATATGCTATTTAATGTTCATAATATCTACACTGCTCGCCATTAAAACTGCGACATCATAAATTAAAGCAGATATAAAAAAGATATTTATTGAACATAAACAGTATGGCATAAAGACAAAATGATTAAATTTGGATTAATCATTAGTTAATCAAGCATTTTGGAGGTTTACAGGGTAGCATTTTGGAGGTTTACAGTGTGAAATTAGTAGAAACAGCTGCCACGCCTGGCAGCTAACACGGCCCTTACCCCATTAGGCATGGAGTCAAACTTGGCTTGGATGACAGAAATGGGCAACTCATTCCATGCTGCTTTAAGTCTATTCCACACTTCATCAACCGTATTAGCTGGAGAGGAGTAGCAGGCCAATATCTCAGCAATGCATGACCAAATGTTTTCAATGAGTGATAGATCTGGAGACCGTGCAAGCCAGAGCAGCAATCGAATACCCTGTGTATTGAGGAAGGTCAGAACATGACGAGCAACATGTGGTCTTGCATTATCTTGTTGGAATATGGAGTCTGGGGGCCTCGAAGATAGGGCATAACCACTGGACACAAGATGTCAGAAATGTACTCACCTGCGTTCAAATTACTGTCTATCCGAATTAGCGATGCACGTGTCATGTACCCAATGGCTGCCCAAACCATCATACCAAGTGCAGGGTCCCTATGCTGATATCCAATGCAAGCAGGCAACATGCAGACCCCTCGGACACTTCAGACATATACGGCCATCAGAATACTGCACGTGGAACCAAGACGACATTGACATTGAAAGACGACATTGTGTCACTCAGCTTTGTCATTTGGCGCACCAGAGTCACAGTCTCTTTCTAAACTGCATTGTCTAGGGAAGCTGAAGTAATAGTCACCCTGCTGGTATTCCATGCTACTGTAAACACTGACATATCTTACGAGCTGATACTGGGCGTGCTGCAAACATGCCCATATCCTGACTAATGGTCCATGATGTCGTTGTACAGTTTTGCAGGGCTGACCTCACAATATGTCTGTCCTCTCTGACATTAGTCATGGGAGGGTGTTGAGATCTTGCATGCCATTCAGTTTGACCCTCAGCAATCCATTGATTCCATATTCACATGACAGTGGTCGGATGTTGACCAGTGCAATCAGCGATATCACTTAACTTAACTAACTTAACGGAATGATAACCTACACTTTTGATAGGCAACATTCCTGTCTCTATCGAATTTTGAAAATTTCAGAATGGTAAGCATTTCTTCTTATTCGAGGCGTAACACAACATTCTGAGCAAACAACTTTACAAAATACTTTCCAAATGAAAAATCCACTACACAACTTTTCTTTCATATACAGTGCTTCAGATGCCGTTTCTCCCTCCTGCGTCGTTTAAATGCGCTGAAATATTAATCATTTGCATTTACCAACTTCTTCTTCCCTTCATGTGATTTTGTTGTTCGTCAGATCATTCCTTCCTGGTGTTGCATTTTTAATGGCCAGCAGTGTATAACATGTTTACTTAAAACTTCTACAATTAATTTTAAACCTTACATTTAAATTTCTTGAATGATGAAACTCAATACTATAGTGATGTAAATAAGACTATCAAAATATTACAATGTGCAGTTTTATGATCCAGAAAAAACTGATAAAGTAAGTATAATTTAATTCAAGCTTTTGCTAGAAGTTTTTCACTTTATACATTATTTAACAAACTTTTTATGACAAAATTTTGAAACTTATGAACTACAAATACATCTAGGAAATTGAAAAAGAACAAACAAAATTAAAATTAGAAAGCAGTAACTTGTAACTTTTCATTTTCCATATATGCGTTTGTTTAAAAATTTATAATTCACATATGAATCACACATGAATACATTAAATATTTCTGGAAATAATTTTCAGTTTGTGTTTATTTATTTTAAAAATGATTATGCTGACATTCAAATCAGGCCTATTTGAGTTTAATTACATGATATTGTATGCACTTTTGTGATATTACATATACCGGAATGATCTATAATCCGGACCTCAAAGCCACAAACTTTTTTTGTATACTTTACGCATGGGCGTAATGCATCTATGCATGCACATTTAATGTTATGCATGCGTAATGTTATGCATATGTGCATGCGTAAAGCATACAAAAAAAAAAGTTTGTGGCTTTGAGGTCCGGATTATAGATCATTCCGGATAATGGATGTCCGGATTACAGACTTTGTACTGTATATGTAATATCACAAATATGCATACAATATCATGTAATTAAACTCTGTTATGTTATGCATGCACGTTTAATGTTTACGCTTGCATGTTTAGCACAAAAAACGGAGCAACTTAAACAACTTATATTGAAAGAAATATTTAATAAAGTAAACAAATAAATATTAAGCTTTTTTTTGCAAATTTTGATACCCTTTAGATCATAATTGCTCTTTATTTCGTAAATTACGGTTTCATATTTTTAACTGTATAATTTCTGCATGCCATCTTACCAGATTTAAATTGATGATCTATAATCCAGAAAAACCCTCAATCTGGAATTGCCAAAGTCCCGACGAGTCCAGATTATGGACTTTGTACAGTATTATGAAATTTGCAAATTAATAAAAAATTTGAAGACTAACTTAAATAAATTTAAAAAAAAAACACTTAACAAAATTCATTTCTTGTATAGGGATTGGATCAATCAACCTTTACTAGATATACTTCTGACTCATCCACAAAATGAAGTTTGCAAGTTTAATATCATTAACCTTTTGATGGTCATCAATGAGCTCAGCTTGCATTCTAGTTGTGTACTCCAGTGGGTGAAAACACAGCTCATATTAAAAATTTACAACAGAGAGATATTGTCCATATTTAGGAAATAAGAATTGCTTAATCTCACAACTGCTGAAAAATTAACTGAAAAATCAAAGAAATGTATATAAAAACCCAGTTTAATGTAATTATTATATTTTATGTTAGTAAAAGACAAAATTAAAGAAATAGAAACTTATAATCTCACAAAATTATACCAATCAGTACCTGATATGCACAGTCCTAAAGTCTTATTTCTATCTGATAATCCTTTAGCTAATTCAATCACAGTGTAAAGACGACAACCCTCAGCACATGCCTTTCTTAACTCCTGTAAAATATGTGTATACTTAATAAAGTATATACTCACATTCATATATTAAACATATGAACACTTGATAAAACATATGAATACTTATATACTTTTCAGCAAACTTTACATGAAATATTCTCCACAATATAAAAACACTGCAATACTTAATAAACTATACATTTTTTAATAAAGTTCACACAGAAAACCCTCAAATGTGTTGCCAAAGTATTTCAATAACTATATTTTTGAAAGCCAATTTGAACAACTGAATTGAACAATTTAAAATTTGCGGTATACGTAAAAAAAAAAAAAAAAAGCAATTTAGTACTTCCTTATTAAAGTGGCCACTAAATATTGGATCACAAAAACTATCAAACTCAATAGCCAAATCAATAAATGTATCAATTTCAGATCTTCACCAGAAGCTTATGAAATGATCAATGAAGTAACAGCATTACATATCATATACAGTCTATTTTAGTATGCTGCTACTGATATTTAGTACACAAACTCAGCTATAATACAAATACTACTATAACGAGTGACATATACAGGGGTTGGACAAAAATATGGAAACACCTTATAAAATGCATGTTTGAAATGAAATGGTTACTCTTGCAAAAGCTGTTATTGGCACTGATGTGTTTGCACACCAACACCACCTGTACAACACCCTCAATTACACTGGAAGTGTTACTCGTTATCAAGACAGTGTTCTGCGCAGTTGTAAGTGCATCCTCACAGAGCTAAATTAATTAATTATTCATCATGGAGCTAAATTACTGCTTCTGTAACTAAGGTAGCTGAAGTGTTTGGTGTTTCAAAAGGTTCAAAGGTTTTTTAACTCATACAAGAAAACTGGAAAAACTGCATCTGTTTAATCACAGTGTGGATGAAAATATGTGTTGAGTGATCATGACAGACGGTCACTGAAAAAGATTATATGAAAAATAAGAGGACTACAGCCACAAAAGTGACTGCTGAAGTGAATGGCGCACTCGCAAACCCTCTCAGCTTCAAAATTATACAAAGAGGTCCACATGCAGGGTATTTTTGGGGCAAAAAGCAATTCAAACGCCACTCATTAATGATCAAACTGCCTGCAAGAGGAGAAAGTGGTGCCAAATTCATAAAAGCTGGACTACAGAGCAATAGAAGACTGATTATTTGGTCAGATGAATCTTGCTAACTTCTCGGAGAGTTTACATCTGGAGAATGGCACCCCAAGCATATGACAGACTGCTTGCTACCAAGAACGAATTTTTAAGTGTGCTTATGTTATTTAATTAATTAATATTTAAGTATTTTTATTTGTATTTGATTTAAATTTGAAACTGTAAAGAGTGTATTTTTAGCAGTTAAAATCTTTAGCTGGTTATTTTTTTAATGGTTCAATTTTCTAACAAAGATAGAGAGCGTTTCTTTGGATGGAAATGACTTCTTTTCCCATAGCTTTTATATCACAGAAGGCATGCAGTATGTAGGGTTGTGTCGGGTGTCTTTCGCTCTGCAGGGGCCAGTAAAAGGAAATCTTAATTGCCATCTTTCTGCCCTTTTGTGAATAAAGCAGGTATTGAATAAATCAGTTTCTTTCTGACAGGAGCATCTGTAAATTCATTCTTAAGGGGTAGTTTGATTCTTATCTCTAGTTTTTCCGCTTGTTAGTTAGGGTTCGAATTTTGCGTTTTCACGCTTTTGGGAGACTCATTGATTCAAGAAAGTAAACCGTTATCTTTGGACAATGTCTTTATTTTGATTCATTTGAGGGGGAAGGTAACGTTTTCAGTAAAAGAAATTCTTGGGTTGCTTAAGTTTAATTTTATGTGAAATTTTTGGGCCTATAGATTTTAGTGGGTGAAGAAAGCGAGTTTCCTTCAGAACTTGTAAGGGTATTAAAGTCAGTGAGATTCGAGTCTTGCGATGTGAAGTAGTAAAAAAGAGATCGAGCCCAGCAGGACTTGCCCTGTTGCAGGTTGCCTGCGCTTGCAGTTTGGGGCTGCGTTTCTCTCACCTTTGACTGATGAGAATTTTCGTTTATGCAATGACAAGAGCTCTACACAAAAATATAGATTTGCCTCTCCTTCATTATATTTTCCATGAAGTATAAATAGACATTCTTGAAGTGTTCCAGATACAAGTGTTCGTCCTGGGTATCCGGCTTTTCCTGACCCAGATGTATTCCAGAATCGTCTTTCTCAAAGCAGTTTCTGACTTAACAAAGTATTCCTGATAGAAGTGTGTATTCTTGATTTGCATCTGGCAGTTAGCACAGTTTGGCTTTCTGTGGAGATTTCATAGACAATCAAACGAATTAAGCTGGAAGATCTGTTGAACTATTAAAACTCCCTAACATTCAGTCAATGATGGCAATACCCAGTAATAGAAGACTGATGTATGAACTTCACCCTGTGAGTGATAATTTTTCTCCCTCCTGTCTTTTCTATTTAAACTGTGACTAAATAATGATAAATTATATTTATTAATATACAGGAATTACGTAATGATCAGTTACATTAATATACATGTAAATGAAATGATTAGAAGATTTGAGTAATGACAAGTTATTTTAATGTACCTGTAAACAAATGATTAGAATAGTTGTTCAACCATTTAAATTTGTAAGTTACAAAATATTTACAAATGTATACATACTATTAAAATGAGTGTTAATTTTGGAAAGACATACAGTACAAAGTCCATAATCCGGACGTCCATTGTCCGGAATGATCTATAATCTGGACCTCAAAGCCACAAGCTTTTTTTTTTTTTGTATGCTTTACGCATGCGTGTTTAATGTATAACAGATGGTATAAGAGAAAATTATCTTTACTGATTCAAAGGCATTTCAGTTAATGTTGCAGATTGCACTGTTCCTTAATCTTCTAATTGGATCTGGCTTATTATTTTTTGCAGACTGTTAGAGCAATTTTATAATTTGAAGGTTTTTGGACATCGTAAACTAAAAGTGAAATTTTCCAGTTATTGGATTTTGTAAAGAAATATGGAGAAACGGTAATAAATGAAGATGATATAACAGAAGTTTTTCATTGCAACAACAATGCCGCAATCATCAATCAATGGACGGAGAAATCTGTAGTATGGTTCTAGATCCAGAAAATATCGCTTAGTAAAGAAAGTGACAGAGAGGTTATTGAAAACGAAAAAATTTCAATTGACAAGTTAGTCGATATTCTCGACACAACAATTACAGGACTTGAACAGTGGAAGTTTGTAAGTGAACAAGAATTACTGTCTGTTTATATAATTAAAGAGAAAGTTATTAGCACAAAATCAACGAAGCAACTTACAACAACTTGATTGAAAGAAATGTTTACTAAAGTAAACAAATACATATTAAGCTTTTTTTTTTTTTTTTTTTTTTTTTTTGTAATTTTGATACCCTTTAGATCATAATTGTTCTTTATTTCATAAATTACGGTTTCATATTTTTAATTTTATAATTTCTGCATGCCATCTTACCAGACTTAAATTGATGATCTATAATCCGGAATCGCGGAAGTTCCGATGAGTCCTGATTACGGACTTTATACTGTATATATATATGTTTATCTTGAGTTTATGTGAGATCCACTTTAAATAACTAATTTAATGATCTAGTATAATCAAAATAATAATTTAGTCTGTTAAATTAGAATTTTGTTATTCATACATGACTTGAAAGAAACAATGTGAAACATTATTTTCTATTGTATGTAAGGGTAGTCTGGCCAGCTATCTGAATATTTGAGAAATTAATAAATGTGTTTGATTAGTGTATTTTATGTTTAGTTTGTTATTTTTTGTGTTACTTGGGTCTATCAAGTCACTCCATTTGTTCGAGCCGTAAGGCTTTTAAGAAACTTGGAGATTTTACTCGGGGTATTGTTAATATTTTTAAATCCCAGGGTTTCACAATGCACCCTTCATTTACTAACCACTTATTAATAATTATTTGAATGTTGTTTTTGAATAAATTGTAATATTTTTAGGTGTCAGGATTGTAATTCGAGCTCTTGATTTTTTTAAGAGGAACTGTTTGATTGCATTTTGAATATTTCTTCTCTGGTGTTTGTGAGGTTTGAATTAATGAAACTGAACTCTCATTCTTGAGTTAATTATAGAAATTGAGAAATTGATTGAATATGTAGTTAAGTGAATTTAAGTAATGGTTTTTGTTTGCGAAATAGTATTCTATTTTACCCGAGCAACAGCAAAGATTTATTCCTCTTTATTTTCAGTTATGATTTATTAAATGTGAATTTGCATTTGATTGAATTAAGTGATTCTATTATGAAATAATATGAATAAGAATTGTTTACTAAATGAGAACTGGGATAGATCAATCACACAGTTCCTCTTCTCCTCTCTTCCACATGATATAAGATTAAAAGTTTTCAGATTATATTTTTAGGATAATTTATTATTCTTTATTTTAGTTTTTGTCCAGCACCAGTTAAGTTCAATCAGGCAGTTTAGAGTTAAAAGAGTTAAAAAGTGAATACACTAAATTTTCTTAATTCAACAATCCCCACCCCCAAATGAATCAAAATAGAGACATTGCCCAAAGAAAACGGTTGACCATCTGGAACCAGTGAGTCACGCAGAAGCGTGAGAACCCAAAATTCAACCCCCAACTAACAAGCAGAAAAACTAGAGATAAGAATCAAACTGCCCCTTAACAATGAATTTACAGACACCCTCGTCTGAAAGAAACTGATTTATTCAATACTTGCAGCATTCATAAAAGAAAAAGTACAGAAAGATGCTAGTTAAGACTTCCTTTTACTGCCCACGAAACAAGACCCCTGCAATGCGAAAGACATGCGACACAACCCTACATACTGCCTTGTGTTATCGTAAAAGCTATGGGGAAAGAAGTCATTTTCGTCCAAAGAAACGCTCTCTATCTTTGTTAGAAAACCGAACTGTTGAAAGAATAACCAGCTAAAGATTTTAATTGTTAAAAATACGCTCTTTACAATTTCAAATTTAAATCAAATACAAATAAAAATGTTTAA